GTATTATATTGAACAATAAGGAGGATCTAATTGTATCATGTAGTACAGATAGAACAATTAAATTTTGGATCAAATAGAATCAATGGGTATACCAATAAACTATTACTGATCATAATGGCACTGTACATTCATTAAGTTTAAATGAATAATAAAATAGATTAATTTCATGCAGTGAAGACAAATAAATATTAGTAATAGATTTTTCATAATGTGATAAAAAGTGGATTATAAAATAGAAAATAATAGTAGAAAAAGAGGGTATTAGATTGTGTTTTATTAATGATAATTTATTCACTTTTTAACCATATTACTAGGAATAATTGAATATTTATGAATTGAATAGTAAAAATGGATAGTATATCAAAACAAAAGATGTCCAAGTTAAGTGTGTTTAGGATGATGGTTGCACTCTTTTTCCTTAAATATATATAAAGGAAAAACGTTTACTTGTAAATAAGAATGGTTAATATATAAATTTAACCAAAAACAACTGAATAATCTATTCAATTTAAAAGTTCTCATGTATATGGATGTATCAGTGATGATGCCGAGTATTTAATCACTTGGGATAATGCATCAAAAGAAATATAAATTAGATAATATAATGAAAAGTGAATATTATAATACAATTTTTATAAGAATTTAGTATTAATTTTCATAATGGTTTTACAGAATTTTCAATTTTTAATATTATGAATATTCGATGTAGAAAGAAGATTATTGACTTAAATTTTTAAAAAGATAAATAATGATTTATTTGCTAAATAATTTGATTAAGCACATAAATAAAAAACAAAAGACCCTTAAAATGCATTGAAACTCAGTATTCATCTATTGATCTAGGATTTTCAGAAAATTAATTTAAAATAATAAATAGGATTAACTGGAATATACATTGAAAAAAGAGTAAATCGTTACAAAAGATAGAAAAAAAATAATTATAAAGCAGCTTAATTGAAAGAATTTAATATATTAGCCTGGTTTGGGATACAGTGAACTTTAAAGAAAAGCATCACTCTATAGAATCCTTAAATGGGTTAATAAAGAAGAAATTATGATGTTTTGAGAAGATAAGAAAACTTGAATCTTTGTCAGTTAAATAGTGAATCCATTAAACATAGCTTATAATAAAGCACTCCAAAACATAATTTGTTTAAGGGTTAACTTTTAATAAATATTATAGTGACACTCATAAATTAACATCAACTTATAATATTAAGGTTTAATTAATGGTCAAAATGATATGACTAACAGCATTTTGAATAATAAATCACTAAATACTTAGTTTTTTATCAAAAATTTCTGACATTAAGTTATTTTTGGATTTTGAATTTCATGAATTAATGTAGATGCTTAAGATTAAATCGGTAATTTACAAATAAATATTAAATTCTCAAGTAATTTTCATGTGTTGAAGTTTGACAAAAAGTTTGGATTATAAGAAAAGAAAAAATGTTAATTTCATTCAAAATTTGAATCTTTTATCATTTTATCTAATCAATATATTGAGACAATTAACCTAAAGTAAATCAGTTGAGACTCTAAACAATCCACAATTCCATTTGATTTATAATTACTAAAAAAATAAACTAGCTGCAATTTTAGATTCCTGAATTTAATGAATATTTTATATATATATCATCCTTCGATCTATATTTAAATAATTTCTCTATTGAAATATATAAAACATTGTATTTTAAACAGTTTACAAATTTACTTACATTATATTAACTAAATTCAAAATTCAATGTGATTAACAAATCCAAATCATAATTAATTGAATATTTTAAGATTCAAGCTCAAGGTTGAAATCTTTTATGTATAAAAATTTTAATAGTGTTCATTTTATTAATAAAAAGTGCTTTAATATTTAATTTTCCTTCCTATTATTAAATTTTTCTTTTTGTTTCATAATTATTATTTGTTCTATAATATATATCAGCAAAAAGGTTGAATTAGGCCTTTTAATTTTCATAATCGTAGTTTATCCGATTCTAATTCTCGAAATCAATAATCAATTATTTATATATTAGACAAACGAAAGGTAAGATAAATAAGAGAAATATATTAATAATATAAAATAATCTTCACTTTCTTTTATAATAATTAAAGAGTTATTAATTGAAATATCAAAAGAAAGTGAGCAGCAGATGAGAATATTTAATAAGGTTCTGTTTACTCAAGGTGTATTTATTAAACTTTTGAAGAAGGAATAAATATGGAGAATAAGATGACAAGAATATATATGTTTTTGAAAAAGAAAGAAAAAGATAATTAATTAATAATTAATATCATTATTCATATATTTTAAACTGAATTTAGATGTTAAAATAGTGTTAATCAAAAAAAAACTCAAAGGTTAATTAATTATAGGAAGAAAATTGAATATGCTGCATATAAATATAAAAAATTTGAACTATTTATAAAGGGTAAATTTATAGGGTAAAAAAGAACAAAAAAGTAGGTTTGATGGAAAATTGGGCGAGGATATATTTTATCAATTAAAAACAAAAATATGTTATATTTTAATTTTAATGTTTAATGAGAAATAATAATCATTCCTGAGAGTTCCTT